CATCTGTGGCATTTTGCTGTGAGACAAAACTGCACATTCCAGGGTGGCCTTTTGTTGTGGGCAGTCTGAGGTACACCTGTGCACTACTCATGATGTCAGATCAGCATCCTGATGTGGCACACCTGTGAGGTGGGATGGATTATCTCAATATAGCAGATGTGCCCACTACCACACATTTGGACTGATTTGTGACCACTGTTTGGGAGGGATGGTTATATTGTGTATCTGGAATGAATTTTAGGTCTCTACGTCCATCCCATGGGGAATGGGAGCAAAAACAAAAGTGTTGCGTTTATATTTTTATTCAGTGTATAAACCATATTTCTTATGAAGCTTTAAAAAACATACAGATATTTAAATATAGTAAGTTTCACAATCATAATGTGCACTGATAATTTTTAATCAAAGCACATATTATATACAAAACATCATTTTTTATATTATTAAAAGTTTTTTAACTATTTGAAATCTAAGGTTATGTGTGTTTAAGAAGTGTGAGCTCCACTTTGAATCATTTTTTTAAACTTGTGATGGTAGAGCATCATCATCATCATCATCATCATCATCATCTTTCACTAAAGCTGAGTGTTTCTACTCATGCAGGTGAAAACATATGTAGTGCGCTTTATATGAATTTCCCAGTCTAATGTGTAAAAGAGTATCAGCTTATCCATCAGCTGATCTGATGACACTGAACGTGACTTTGTGGTTTATCTGAAAAAGTAATAATGATGTAAAGAACAGGAAAGCAGGCAGCTGAGTGATTACAGATCTTCCCTATTGAACTTACTCATAAGCTTCATGTTAATGCTGCATTTAGTGCTTCATACATGTTTGTATTTACCTGTATGATAATATGATTCGTTTTACTGCATTTGTCTGTATCGCTATTGATTTAGTATTTATATTTTTGTGTTTGTTGTTCACAGATTCAAACCCACCTGCTTCCACACTGCAGACAGCAACAACACAGAGTGAAAGTGTCACTGCAGGAGTCTCTACACATTGTCCTGACTCCTCCTGGCTTCTGGTTGTGCGTGCATCCTTGGATGGTGTTTTGCTGATGGCTGTTTTCCTCATGCTCTGCTACATTAGTAAGACAAGGAGGAACTTTGGACTGAACACCAGAGAAAATGACACAAACATGGAGGTGAGTTTGTGTCACTTGTTTTCTGTCTGTTGTTGCAGGTTTTAGTGAGTGTTGTTGATCCATGCTGTCAGTGTGACTTTCTCAGTGAAAGTTAGTGAAAAGAGGTGATGTTACCTGTTATTATGGTTTCTTCAATAATATCCTTGTAGTCTTCACCAGCAGTGGGAGGTGAAGACAAAGTGAACAATTTTTAGACCAGACAGAAATATTTTCTATAATTATGTAGATATAACAGCATACAACATATTTTATGGTCCTTTCTGAGGTTATTCCACAGCATCATAATTTCATGATGTCATATCTAAAAGTGTGAAAGCACATTTAGTCCTGTTTCCTGACACTGCAGCACATGTAAGCTGCTCTGAAGCAAATCTGTTGAACTTCTTATGATATTTATAATGTTACATTTTTTTACGTTTGTTTCTCTGAAATAAACTTTGTGCTTCTTATTTTTAATATTCAATTTGCATTAAACAGTGATGTTGCATGAAGTTATTGAAAATCTGTTTTGCATCTTAAGTTTTAAGTCTTTTATTTTTTCATTTTCAGTTCTCTGTAACACATGAGAACTGGGATCCAACCTCCAAACACAAAGAGTCTAAAAGCAGCAGGACCAAACCTACTCTGCATTATTAAAGACCAAAATCTAACAAGTAAAAATGAATTTTGATATTTTTGGACCTGTAGCTGAGATTTCATGATCACCTCCATATAATTTGCTTCACTATGCTTCATTTTGTTCCTGTTATTCAAATGCATACATGTACATTGATGTACTTCATTGCAGAGGTGAAGTAACAAAGTACAAATACTGTACAGTATTTGTACTTTATTTGTTTTTCTTCTGTACTGTTTATTTTACTCCCTACATATTTAAACAAATATCTGCACTTTCTACTCCTCACATTTTCAAAACAGGCTTTTTACTTTTGTTTTAACACATTTCAGGAGAGTTATTATTTTGTCACTTCCTCCAAACATCACAGATTTGAGCCTAAACAGAAACACATGAAAGGCAGTCCTGTTCATTTAGTAATTAGCAGGAGATGTTGCATGAAAGGACATGTGTGCCAAAGTCAGCGGTTAAATGTGGGGCCATCTTTTTTGTTTTTTGAGGGTTTTTTTGTCACAACACACTGGAACGACTGCAGGTGTCCATAAGTTGTGGTACTTGAGCAGCATGCGCCACCGAAGAGGAGCAAACAGAAAGGGAGTAACTGTTTTAACTGTCAGGTAATTTCAAATGCAACATTTCTATAATCTCAACAAGCATCAGCAAATACACAAACTGGTGAAGCTGCTGTATTTCACAGGGAGAGAAAAGAAAGAGCTAATTTCGCTCAGAGAAGGAAAAAGATAACAAAGAGGACAGGAGAGCATTTAAAGGGAAGGACTGCTAAGTGGAATTTGACAAACTGGAAATGTAAAGCTCATTTTTTTTAAGTCACACATTGGTTGACTTTTATATATTAATCACAGTGAAAGTGTGTGTGTGTTTGTGTGTGTGTGTGTTTCCTCCCATGCTCAGAAGTGTGGGTGCTTAAGTTAATTTGCCAAGTTTGAATTAGCAACTAAGGAAGAACAAACTTGGAGTATTTGATGTTGAGAAACAGCTCTTGTCTTTTGTGGCTCACTTTGTTGCTGCTGCAGCAGTGGCTGTGACATGAACTCTGCCTCATGTGTTCAGAGAGCTGCACACTTCACCAAACTTGAAGGAGCTGTGTATGTGTGCTTTGCTTGTGTTTCCACCTCTGGCCACCAGGTGGTGCTCTTTTGTGTTTTCTTTTCAGCTGAGTTGTATTTTTGGTCCCGTTAGTGAGGAGACAAACAGATATTTCAAATTTAAACAATTTAAACTGGCTCAAATAAAAGACCTCTTTAGTAACTCGGCTCCAAACAGACACTGACAGCAGAGAAGAAAACTGTTCACAGCTTTAACAACAAACAGTACTGGACTCCACCTGCTGGAGGCGCTGTGAGCTCACTGGACCCAATCAAACAGATTAAAATACTCCTTTGTACTTTACTCTTTCTTCAATCCTCACCTTTTCAGATTATTTTTTTTATCCTACTCTCATTTTCAAAGATGCATTTTTCATTTATTTACAGATTTTAATTATTTTAGTTAAATGAATCCAAACAGTCACTTTTAAATACACTCTAAGAAATAAAATGTTGTATTTACTCCACCCAGTTATGTCAACTGGTTCCACACAACTGGGTTAGTGAAATATAAAATGTATGATACATTTAACTTGAACAAGAAATTTTAAGTACATCTGATAAATCTACTCAACCAAAACAAGCTCTACTGAAACTATAGGATTAAATCACTTTAACAGAATCGCAACTTACTCTATACAAGTTTGTAAATTAAATAAATCAAGTTTGTTAATTAACCTAACTTTAATAACACTTGGTGTGTATCCTACACACATATATACACGGGAGAAGTAAACATACACTGACAGAATATGTAAGAAGTCAAGAAGAAAAAATCCGACTGTTTTCATCTTGATTCTTTTGTCTTCACTTTTCCGTTTCTGTTACAATTCATGAGTCTGTTTTAACACGGAATAAAAACCAAATCTGAGCCTGTAAAACTGTTTCTGTTCAGTCAAGAAACACAGACTGTAGGTCATCTATAAGTCAGACTGTTTTTATTGATTATTCCATGAAGAGAGAAGTCTCCACAGCCTCCAGTTAGCCATAAGCTGCTCTTCTTGTATCAGCAGTACTAGAAGCTACATTTGGATCAACACAGACTAATAAATGGATCCAGAACCATCCAGATCAGTTGTTGTGAAAACTGGTCACATAGTGGTGATATTGCTTTTCTCCAGGAACTAATTGTAGTGAAATGTTACTTAATTTGCATAACAAGAGAGAGACACAAATGTATAGTTATGCAATGTAAAAAATTAAAGACACCTAAACACAAATTATTTAGAGCCTGCAGCGCTCATCATCACAAAGTCTAACCAACAACGTTTAAAATGTCTAAATTATATGTTCCAAAGATTTCATCCATCAGTCTAAGCATGATTAAAATGTGTATAATGCAACAGATTTAGTAATAGATGATAGTAATGCAACAGATTTAAAAATACTGTTCCTCTTTCCTCAGCACTAACAGTCCTGTGGGTATTTAAACTGTAGTATATAAGTAAAAACTGATATCTGCTCTTAAAAAAAGGCACCAAAGACAATAAGATGATTAAAAAAAATTTCAGGAGAATCAGTTTTATCCAACATCTCTCGACTGAAAAACAAACGAATATATGTACGAGACAGTTACCTGATATACTAAGTGAGGAAAAGTGTGAAACACCAATGTGAGAATATTTCTCTGCACAGTAAGTTCATTATTGTGAGTCAGCACAGAGGTGGATACTAGAGTCAGGCTTCACTCTAAACCCAGCATATACAGGTTCAGTGAAGGTGGTGTTGAAGGTGTGCAGGTGGATCAGTTTATCAGAGGAGACACTGTGGAAGGACACAGTTCCTGCAGAACAGTCCACATACACTGCTACTTTGTGAGAGACAGCTGAGGGGAGAAGAGGGATGGCTCTTAAATCAAATTTGTGACTAACATAGTAACCTTTATCATCACTGCAGTTGAGACTCCAGGATTGATGAGTCCTTCCAAACCTGCATTCATCCTCTTCTCCTTTCCGACTGATTCCTCCATAAACTACAGCAACATGAACCTCTCCTCTCCACTTAACCTCCCAGTAACAGTGACCAGTCAGACTGTTAGTACAGAGCAGCTGAGGCCAGTGATCAAAGCTAAGATCATGATGAGGATACAGCTGATCTTCTTCCACATGTGTCACCTCCTTCTTGTTTTCAGACAGTTTGAGGTTTCTGTGTGCTGTGTTTGGATCCAGCGTCAGATCACAGAAATCTAAAAGGAACCGTGACAAAAAATGTAGAACAGTACAAGATTGTGTGAATGCAGCTCATAAATCAAAAATACTCACATTTCCTTAGACCTGGTCTCATCCACTGGACTCCTTGAGGCTCCACACTGAAATGAGCACATTATCTTTTAGTGTGCAGACGTGGCCTTTACATTCTCTGATTCATCTTTTCTAGAGAAATAACCTTGTGTTTTATTTTTTCTCTCAATAAAGTCAAAACAGATATACACTTTCTACGGTTCTAGGGTTTTATGTATCAAAGCACAATTTAAAAAAAAAAAATCATCTGGTCCGTACCAGGTTCTTAAATTACCTAAATACAACCTGACAGTGAGTATTAGACATGTAAAAAGGTCAAAATAATATATAAAAATCTGTGTGCACACAGTGCACAGGAATTGAATAACTTAAGAGGAATCGCTTTATGATAGGCTCCAGCGCCCCCCGCGACCCTGAAAAGGATAAGCGGAAGCGAATGGATGGATGGAATCGCTTTATGAAGAATTCTAACTTTTCACATGACTGTATCAGCTCTGCATGAAATAACAAATATTTACTTCACTTCTATTTGGCACCAGGAAAGTCAAAATCCTGTTTCAAAGCTTACAGTAGTTCTGCATTTATTGGCATGAAGACACACAGTAAGCTCCAGACTGAGAATAAGTCTGGGAACCCAATCTGACCAGAAAACATTGGCAAGGGGTGACAATGAAACAAAAGTGTTACAGTTTCTCAACCAGGTGAACTAAAACTAAAACTTCCGGTATGATGGCGCCTGTGTTTGGCTCTCCCGCTGCAAGGTGCAGTTTGTCGCGCTCTACTACTGTTGTGTTATTTTTTTCTGCTCTACTGTTCTCATTCAGTTTTAATGATGTATTTGCTGCCCTGGTGTATGATCGCCTGGCTTTGCTATCCATCCGATCCTCTATGATGCCTCACGATGACTCGTCATCCTCTGGCATTTTTCACCCTTCTCCATTAACTGGATCCTCGTCAGGCGATTTCGGTGGTTCCTCTAGACCACGGAGAAGGAGAGGGAGAAGAGGAGGTTTTCAGGTAAAGCTCAGGCTTTACTGGTGGCGTGGTTTGGCTGATAAGCGACGTCGAGCGTGCGTTGTCTCCTGTGATTAGAAAAGCTCCATGGAGGGGGATTTGTTTTCCACGGCTTTGTTTGGATACGCTGGGCCCGGCTCTTTGTGACTAGGATGATGTATTTTGGACACAGCGTTTGGAGTTTTGGGATGTTTGGTTTTTTTTTCTGGTTTTGTACTTTCGATTATTCTTGTTTTCATGATTATAAATTCTGTATTGGTTTCATACTTTTTTGCAGCAGCATTTCAGCAACCTCTAAACTCAGTCCGAGTTTTTCTCCTGTTGTTTATGAGACGTTTCCACCAGAAGTGTCAGTGGGAATAACGGAGCAGGAGGGAAAGTCTTTGTGGGTCATTCATCATCATGTAAATGTGATGAGGATATTGTGTGTTCAAATTCAGCTGTCTAAGTGTGTGGTGAGTTCATTGAGAGAATGTGTGTCCAGCTTGTATTCCTGTGTATATATTGTCTGTGTTTCACTCTGCTCGTTGTTGCCCCCTCCCTCTTGGTGCATGTAATCTCTGTTAGCCTGTTTGGTATTAAGTCAAGTTGTTCCTGTTATTGTTTTTGTTTTGTAGCTTCGGTTATTTCCAGCCTCAATAGAGCTACTGAGTCCTGCATGCAGCGTCCACTCGTTTTTGAGGATGAAGTCACTTGATGCTGTGGATAACATTTTTAGAAACATTTTGATAATATCTGCAAAAAAAAACTGGAAGAGAGAAGTTAGTCTTTTGACTTTTTGAGGTACCTTGTGTACTAAGGTACTCATTTACTAAATAGAAGACATCCTGGGCTTTCCACTGATATTTCATGTGTTTGGGTGGCCTCTTTTAGCTCCAAAGAGGAAGGAAAACATTAAAAAGTTCAATGAGAAGAGTATTTTTTTCTCGATTCTCAGGAGGCTATGACAGCAAACATCCCAATTAAATCAATATTTATTTAATTACACTTTGAATCTGAGTACTTAATTGAATCGAGAGCATGTATTATTCTTCTCAATCATAATTAAAAATAAAATGTTCCTGAACAGATTACTTGTTCATGAAAATGGGAATCGTGGCGCCTCACCTGGATTAAAACAGGGAGGTAAGGCTGTGACTGTGTGGAGCATGAAGTGAGGCCATAGGGAACGCAGCAGGAAGCAGCAAAATTAAACTATAAACCCTGGATCACAGACCCAGAACCACCACAAAGGCACCTGTCAGAACTGGGGTTAAACACATCAAAACCTCACTTAACCATGGTCATGTGATGTTGGTGTTTTGAGCCACACTTTAAAGCAGTGTTTTAAAACATCTGCATCTAGGAAGATTTACAGTCTTTAAAAGTCAATAGGGTCCAATCCTTATCTATTTGTTACATTCTCCTTCAAGCTGTGTATCCTTCCTTGTGTGCCCACACATGGGCTTTTGGCTGCCATTGGTTCTGAGTCATTCACCCACACAGCTGCCCATTTAACTGGACATACAGACTGTTTTACTGGCAATTAGGTCAGTGGTTACCTTACAATATCCTGGAGAAAAATATATTTTCAGCTTTGTTTCCTCTTTTCCTACCAGAGTATTTCCAGTTTCACATGTGGATCCTGCTGTTGAGCAGAAAAAAGCTTCATTCCTGAGTCTCCTGGATGATTATAGCTCTAGTCCAACTCTTTCAAATAGGAGGGATTGGAGCGCAGAGCTGTGGCCAGAGAGGTGAAGCCTGTTCCTGTGATCTGACAGCCTGACAACCTTCAAACACATCAACATGTCACATCATTGTAATGAACTGCTCTGAATTTGATGATGTACAGTCGAACTAACAGATTCTGATTTCAGTTAAAGTTGTTAAAAAGACAAACAAACTGGCTTTTCTTCACTCAGTTTTAAAAAAGAACAAAACACATTGACTTTCTGTCTTTTTTGCTATGATGGACAATCATAAATAAAGTCATATTTTTCTGATTTATGAAGTGTTTTTCACTTTCTACTCTACTGTTCTCTTTCAGAGCTTACACCACAACAGAAACAACATCAGAAACAACATATTAACATCTATAAAATAATGACAGTTGTGAAATGTCCAAATCTCCTGAAACAAAGAGTCAGCTAACCTGAGAGTTTCCAGCACACAGCGTGGATTCCCAAGTCCAACACAAAGCAGCTTCACTCTTGAGTCCTGGAGGTTGTTGTTACTCATGTCCAGCTCTCTCAGTTTGGAGGACTGAGAACTTAAAATTGAGGAAAGAGCTTCACAGCTTCTCTCTGTGAGGTTACAGCCGCCCAACCTAGAAACATATCAGTATATCAGTGAACTTTCCAACCATTTCAAATAAACACTTTAACTCTCTCAGGCTCAAATTAAGTTTTTGTTGCTAATACACAAAAGAATACCTGCAGTGGTACTTCTGAGTAAAAAAATTTTTTTATACATATAAAATATGTATGTGGGGTAATCAGATTGTTAGCTTTTAAGTGTTGCAAATCTGCAACGCCTGCCTTGAGAGGGTTAAAGCAATATCTTGCCAGGATTAAACTGGATACTTACTGGACTTTCTTACAGGCTTTGACCACTGGCAGCAGCTGCAGAAGAGCCGCTTCTGAAGCTGAATATTTCTTCAAGTCAAACTCATCCACACCTGTTTCTGATGACAGTAGGATGAAGACCAGAGCTGACCACTGAGCAGGAGAGAGATTAACTTTAGACAGATGTCCTGAACCCAGGTGATGCTGGACCTCCTTCACTACAGTGTCATCATTCAATTCATTCAGACAGTGGAACAGATTGATGCTTTTCTCTGGAGAGAGAGCGCCATTCATCCTTTCTTTAATGTACTTGACTGCTTCCTGATTTATCTGTGAGCTGATTCCTGTTTGTGTGAGCAGGCCTTGTAGGAGATCCTGATTGGATGGCATTGAAAGACCAAGGAGGAAGCGAAGAAACAATTCCAGATGTCCATTTGGACTTTTTAAGGCCTTGTCCACAGCACTCTGGTAGAACTGTCTTACTGAAGATTCTCCAGTCTGCACTGAGGCTGTTTCTTCTTCTTTCAGCAGGTTGATACCAGAGTTGGTGAATGTCAGATGGACATGAAGAGCTGCCAGAAACTCCTGAACACTCAGATGGACAAAACAGTAAACCTTCTCTTGGTACAGCCCTCTCTCTTCTTTAAAGACCTGTGTGAACACTCCTGAGTACTCTGAGGCTTCTCTGACATTAATGCCACACTCTGTCAGGTCTGATTCATATAAGATCAGGTTTCCCTTCTGCAGCTGCTGAAAAGCCAGTTTCCCGAGTGACTCAATCATCTTACTGCTCTTTGGACTCCAGAGAGGATCTGTCTCAGCTCCTCCATCATACTTGATGTTCTTCACTTTGGTCTGAACCACCAGGAAGTGAATGTACATCTCAGTCAGTGTCTTGGGCAGCTTTTCTCCAGCCTGTTTGGTTTTTAACAAACTCTCTAGAACTGTAGCAGTGATCCAGCAGAAGATTGGGATGTGACACATGATGTGGAGGCTTCGTGATGTCTCCATGTGAGAGATTATGGTGTTAGTCTCTTCCTTGACTCTGAGTCTCTTCCTGAAGTACTCTTCCTTCTGTGGGTCAGTGAACCCTCTGACCTCTGTAACCATGTCTATATATTCAGCAGGGATCTGATTGGCTGCTGCAGGTCTTGTGGTTATCCAGATGTGAGCAGAAGGAAGCAACTTTCCTCTGATGAGGTTTGTCAGCAGCACATCCACTGATGTGGACTCTGTAACATCAGTGAGGATCTCAGTGATGTGGAAGTTCAGAGGAAGTCGACACTCATCCAGACCATCAAAGATGAACACAACTTTGAACTTTTTAAAGTGACAGATTCCTGCTTCTTTGATTTCAGTAAAGAAGTGATGAATAAGTCCCACTAAGCTGAACTTTTTATCCCTCAGTAAATTCAGCTCTCTGAATGGGAATGGAAAAATGAACTGGATGTCCTGGTTGGTCTTGTCTTCAGTCCAGTCCAAAGTGAACTTTTGTGTCAGGAATGTTTTCCCGATGCCAGCCACTCCTTTGGTCAGAACTGTTCTGATTGGTTTGTCTCTTTCAGCTGAGACTTTAAAGATGTCTTCACACCTGATTGTTGTTTCTGGTCTGTTTGGTTTCCAGGAAAACATTTCAATCTGTCTGACCTCATGTTCAGTGTTGACCTCTCCGGTCCCTCCCTCTGTGATGCAGAGCTCTGTGTAGATCTGATTTAGAGTGGTTCGGGTTCCTGGTTTAGCAATCCCCTCAGAGACACACTGGAACTTCTTCTTCAGGTTACATTTAAATGTATCCTCACAAAGTGGATCACGACTTTCTACAGGAAAGCAACAGAAACATGAGTGTTATAGTAATGGAAATTTTGACAATTTCATTCCATTAAAGACTGGATTTATGAAGAGAAATCCTCTCACTGCTCTGCAGACAGTCAGCCAGCTCCTCCTGTTTCATTATTCTCAGGAAGTTAACTGCAAGTTTCAGAAATGCTTCTCTACTGCTCTTTCTCTGCTTCTCTTCCTCACTGTCCAACACCTCTTCATCCCTCTGACACTCTGAATAATCTGGATTCAGATCATTCTGCAGCTTCTTTAGTTCATTCTTCACAAAAGTGATAATGTTTCCCTCCAGTATCTGAAAAATAAATGACACAACCTGAATTCACGAAAATCAGATCTTCATAGTAAAAAATACTTTTTTACAGATTTGTTGTTTTTGTGTGTTTTCAGTTTAACAAAAATACAGCGTTAAAAGATATGCAGGTAACTAATTAAATTAAAACTTCTGTCAGAGAAAAAAATATATAATTCCAAAATATCTTGGATAAGTGTGTCATTTTGTGTGTGTCATTTTTCACAGATTTGTTTTGTGTGTTTTGAATTTAACAAAGGAAACAATAAAATAATAACATAAATTAAATTAAATAATTCTAAGTACTCGGTTATTTCCCCATCTTACATCTTATGTACCTTGTAGTTTCCTGCAAATTCCACGTAAGTACAGGGTACTTGCGCCTTATTTTCAGGTCGTGTTATAAAGTTATGCTGAAACTTTGTTTTGAAAAGTGTTTTATAAATACAAATAAAGTAATAAATTATTTCCCTGTTGAATTATTTCTGATATTTTGCCATTATTTTATGATGAATATTGGACTGTGCAACATGAAAATAGTTACAAACAGAGGTTGGTGTGGTGTACATGTACAAACCTTAAATACTGAGTCCAGATCAGATTGATGCTGCAGACTCTCCTGATCAGCTCTGTGGAGACATTATGAAGACATTTGAACCATTTTGCACATAAATACAAGCCAAAGATTTCTTCTTCTACTGTTAGAAAATCATCCTGATTAAAACAAGCACAACTGTGCTGTAACAAACCTATTATGTTAATTTATAGACTTATTTATTTTTTTATTTATTTAACTCCACTAGTCCAAAACTAACAGGTCAGTGATGGTTCTGTACCAGTGTTCTTGTAATGACCATATTATGGATATTTCCTGCACATTACATCATCACATTAAAAAAGTCAGATTCGTGTTGTTGTGTTGAAGTGTTTCATTTCAAATTTGACCTTTGTGCCTTTAAAATACCAGCAGCAAGTAAAAGCATCTTACAGCAGCAGCTGAAGCTTTTTTCTGAGTAAAAAAACTTAAAATACACATTAAAAAATCGTATCAGCAGCCTGTCAGTCTTACACATGGAGCTCTTTAATCTCAGGACTGAGGCCAGGTGTACCACAGAGCTGTAAGGTAAATGTGAATGTCTTACTCCTCAGCAGCAGCAGACTTTGTTCCTTTAAAGTTAAAGATGGAATATTTTGACCGATCACTCTTCAAAGACACACAGCTGGGTCCAGGTTCAGATTTAAGCGCATCTGATGTCTCAGTGATCCTGGTGAACAGAGAAAAAGATCATCAGGCAGAGAAATTACATTTTTCGCCTTCAGACACAAAAAGTAGGATAAACTTGGAGCTTGTCACAGTGATAATATTACAGTAAGGCTAAAAACTTTGATGCTCTTCACAATGTTCTCTTTAGTCTGTTTGTTTATTCTTCTTTTTGTGAACAAAGCTAAAAAAAAATTAATAATAAATGACTAAACCAAACCTTCTCACTGTTTACTCATGGAGTTAAGATACGTTTAACATTTTGTTAACTCTTACCTCTCATCAGGAGTCAGTTCCCTTCTTTTAAAGTCAGGACGGTCTTTCTCTGGAGATCTGGGTCTGATCTCAGGCTCAGGAGAGTCTGGTCTGAGGAGTGAGGAAAAGAATAAGGCAGGGTTATATATATACACTTTTTTAATCTCCAGGTGGAACATACGCTGGAAAAACCTTGCAGGGTTAATTTAAATGAACAAAACAGAGAGCAGGTTTGTTGTAGAGAGTTACTGCATGTATGAAATCACTTCTGTTTTTGTTCTTTTAGCAGTGAAGATAATGCAAGGTTTTGTGTGATATCTTTCCATGTTGGTAAAAACCTGCAGTCACCTGATGGGAGAGAAAAGTGAGAATAAAACACAGATTTTATTTTTTTCTGTTTATTGAGATATTTGATAGCGAGAAGGTGGTGACTTGTTTAAGTATAATAATAGTTTTATATTATATTATATAATATATTATAAAAAAAACATTAAAAAAAACATAAAAAAAACTTACATGATATAAATCAGATCAAAGATTCACTTTTTCATCATCTTCCTGAACACTGTCTTGTGGTGGATTTTTGTTTGATATGTATAACTATGTAACTATATACTCTATATATCTATGTGCACTGAACATATATATTTTAACTTTCATGTAGAGTCTTAAGCGCAAGACATTTTGCTTCACCGAGGTTTATTAAGGTTTTACAGTAACAGGGCAGTTAATGCTGTTGAGAGTTCGCCTGAATAACTCACTCTCCAGCTCCTAACTAACCTTCCCTAATACACACTCAACGTCTTTCATGCAGCACAACCAAAACAGTAACATTGTAACAGAGATCCTGAACACATCACGATAAAATATCATACGATATAATCACACACACACACACACACACACACACACACACACACACACACACACACACACATACTTTGAACTACACTGAAGTGTTTAAGATTGTGCCACTTGCTGTATGAGATTTAATAATTAGGATTAATGTGTGATGTTTGACCGTGTCATGACCTGTTGTGATAAGCCAGCGCAAGGGGTCCTGACTGGCCTTTGGCCAAGACCTCGGACTCTACTTGACCCCTGCAGCTGTGTTGGGCGCGTAGGAAAGTTACCCAGCAGCAGGGGGCGGGGATACTGGTCCATATATATTAGGGGACCAGACGACACCCCCAGCGCTTTTTTCCTCCTGCTGCTGCTTCATCTCTGTGTTGCTCTGCTGTCTGTGCTTAAGGCTGTACACCCCAGGGTTTTACTTTGCTTGCTTTCTGCTATGTAATTCTCTTGCTAAATGTCTGTATGTATTTTTCCTGCTGTTCATATGATTCAGTGTATTAAACTCTGTTCCAAGAATTCTACTCTTTTCCTCTTCGCCTCTTTCGCATCTTTTTGAGTTGGATCTCTACATCGTTGGTGGGAGAAGGTTATCAGGGTGGCTTCAAAATTTGCGACCACTGTCTGTCTGCAGCTGTTTGCTGTCTGCACTGGGATAAGATCTGATTCTGTGCTTTCTCTATTAAGATCTTTTCTTACTTTCACCACTTTATGCTTCAAGAGTTTGAATCTGTACTTAAGTAAAAGTATTTTCCTGCTACACATCGTAGATCACATAACACACATTTTAGAAATGATGCTCTTCTTCAGCTTTCTCAGCTTTTCTTTCATTCTTAGACTGTGTGTAACCACTGCAGGATTTAAAGAAACATCTTAAAATAATACAATAAAAACATTTTAATTTAAAAAAAATAAATAAATAAAATGAAAATATTTCAAAGCTCACCAATTGTCCACTATCAGTGTGTTTTATTCTGTAGCTCACTTCCTTGTTTTTTTCTTATACGTTATTGTTTTGAATACAGGTGCTCACTGTACTGATGACATGCCTACACTGTTAGACTGGTTAAACTGGTTAAACTGGGAAAACACTGCCTTGTTCTGACGTTTTGCTGAATTTCCTGCCCCTGGCTACTGAATTTCATCCATCAAGTAAAGGGTTTGAACAACTAAACATAAATTATGCAGTTACTAAATGGCGTAAAACATTTTAATTGAATAATAATTATGTTAAGAACTGTAGGGCTCTGCGTCCTGACAACGTCAGAAATGATCCAGCCACCTAAATCAGACACATGATAAACTACACAGAGAGCTCATCACCCAGAGGCATTAACGGTTATGTCAAAGCACATAAAACCATCATCTGATTGTCTGAAAACAGAAAATTCATGGTTCATATCTCACTTTTAGTCCTTCCAACAGAGTCTGTTCTGCCTGCAGTGGGAAACCTTCAGCCTCCTCAGTCCAGTAAAAAGGTTCTCAAAGGTTTTGTGGTCACGACCCCCTTTCAGAGGACAACATTATCCCATATAATCAGCTGTTTGGTCTTAGCTTCACATGATGATGTGTGCTGACTGAAATATTTAACCACGTTCACCAGATAGCTGACTGGCTAATAATTCATTGGTAGCAGGACAGAAGACAGAATTACATTAAAAATAAATGAAAGATAAAATACGTACATCTGCTGTGTGTCTTTCTGTACTTTTTTCATCAGCCCTTACAGGACACTGAACCAAGTCTACTTTCATATGCAAACACAGCCATCACGCCCGGCTGCCTGGGTCAGGTTACATCAGCGAGTTTGTTCCTCTGTTTGTGTTCACTACAGCTTCTGTTCAGTTTTCAGCAGCTTTGAAGAAACACACAGTTATTATTGGGTTTGGTTTTATGAGTAAAGTTTGAAGACAACAGTAAAACAGGAGTAAAAAAATAACAATAATTATGTGTCTGTGTTGACCTTGAAACAAAAAAATATGATCCTCTGTAATAGGAACTAATATGAGCTCATGTTTATGTGTCTCTTTGCCACACTTAGATCAGCTGTGTCATAGTCATTTATGATTAATAAAAAAAATCCCAATACAAAGGCAAATATTTCATTATGAACTCTAAATATAAAACCAGACAAATAATTATCCTGTGATTTGATGCAAATAGATTAGATGTTATGATGGTGTAGATGTTTATCAATATTGATAATAATTCAGTGTCCAATCTCAGGTCATTGGC